TTGAACCTGACCATTTAACTCTTACAATAGGTAAACTCTAAAAAAGACTAAAAAATAAGACAGGTCATTTAAAAGGACAAGTACACTGATATCAATCAGCTGATTATGCAACTATATATGATGCTGTTAAGAGTAATAGTCTTGAAATAATATTAATAGCAAAAGATATCTAATAAGAGGATAATTAAATTAAAGCTAACAATAGATAAGTATAACCAATAACATCTTTGGATCAATATATTAGAGTTATATAAACATTTTCTGCTACTGTTGTTACAAGAGTCAGAAATAACAATATTTAATTATACTATTGTGTGAAGATTAATAAACCAAGTTGAAGTTATAAGTCAATTCAGTTTGTCAAATTGAGTCTTTAGAACTCAAAATGGTAACTTAAAAATAAGTATATACTACTTTTTATTTCTATAATTAATAGTAGATGAGGGACTAACTACTCTTTATTGAATTTAGAGTTCTTATATACATGTTAAATTTTGAGACATTTATATGATTATTGCTATGTTTACACTACTATAAGGTGTTTATATTTCCACTTTGTAGCTACTCTTTTATGAAAATAAATTCATCTTATTGCAACAAGTTCAAATAGCTATGTTTATGCACCTACTGGTGTGTTTACATGAATTGCATATCACCCATATCATTAAGTCACCACGCCTCAATTATTACCATTTTAGTATAAGTTATAAAAATTCAAAAATAAAAATCATAGTTTGTTCAAACTTGGACATTGTTATCAGAATGGATAGGTAATGGTACTACAAGACTAGATACAGGAAATAATTCATTAAAATAATAGGGGTTTTATTTACAGTAATTATGGAAATACTAAGATAAAAATGTCAAATCGTTACAATAGTAGAGATGGGCACGCGTGGGATTTTTAATATGATCCCAAAATAAAATTAACTCACCGGCATTATCATATCATCTGGCTAGCATTAATATAATACGTATCTGCCTGCATTAACATATTTAGCTAATTCCAAATTAGAATTTATTTATTTATTTGCATATCGTTTACATATGTATATATATTTGATAAGAATTTACCTTTTTGTCATTAGTATCTTGTTTACGTACCAAAATTTCTTTGTTATAATAAATAAATATCATTAAGTTATTCTTTTTACAAATAAATATAACATGCATGGTAATCATGATATTTGGAATCATTTAATAAAATTTAGACAAGATGGAAACTTTAAGCAAGGACGTGTTCAATGTAATTACTGTGACTAGACCTTGCCGCACAAGAAATTCACTATTTTGATCAACGATCAAAAAATTTAGGCAAAATTACTCGAATTTTTACTAATTAAATCGTGGCCATTCATTAAGTGAAAATTAGAGCAGGAAATTATCATAATTTGTAAGAAACGTGATCCTTCTATCATATAGTTCAATGTGATTTCCTTGATCATATGTGCATCGATTTGATCAATAAACTTTATTGAAGTTCAATAATGCTAGCTAAATTTTGGTACTATATATCACGTGAAATTTACATGAAATCCATGTTACTAAAACTTATGTGAAATTACATGTTTTGCAAATTTGTAAAATGTAATTTTCAACCCTAAGTGAAATATGTTCCTGGGTTAATTTTACTACACAGACCAAAACCTTAAAAAAATTAAATTCCGGCCAAAGTTATGTATAATGCGGACCAAGATTTTGTTGATCACAGCCGTTGGCCGATCAATATTGAGGATCAACCGCGCATTTTTGTGTGGCGCCTAGATTTAATGAATCCCGCGCGGGATTCTTGAAAAAACCGCAATTGGCCCATCTCTATTGAATAATAAATAAGAAGGTAATGAAAATGTTATGAAAAAAACAATTATAAAGTTACCAAGAATAAATTTCAAAAACTTCAATAAGCATAATATAAAAAAACAAACTAAAGTATTATATACCAAATTAGCAAAGACATGAGTCAGCAATTTTCTAAAGCTTCTAAATGAGAACCTCATAATAAATTTAATCATTCCAGGTATGAATTGCATCATACTAAATGAGAATCTCTTATCAGTAATTTTAAACACTTCATACTCTTCTATTTCAAATGTATCTTTGTCAATAATTCCTACTTCATAAGAATGTTGTTTGCTTGTACCACTAACAGACCTTTGTGAAGAATTATTCTGTATCCACAAATCTTGTAAGCCAAAGCATGGTCCTTTATTATTACACCAAATGATTGCTTCGTTTCAGTAGATATACGGCTTAATCGGGACTTTCTTAGTGCTCTATTTGAAAATGAAAGCAATGAAAATATAAAACTCTTTGATGTTTTACATTTATAGTCATCATAAGCATTTGACGATGAGCATCTATCGTTCATTAATCCAGTGCTACGCCAATCTAATGGGTTATATCTACCAATTATTTCCTTTGAATTTAGGACTTTAATTATAACAACAGTTGGTCCTTTATTATCGCAATTGTCATGAAACTTACTAATACTGAAATTTTCTTGGCTTGTACGATAAATCAGCTCAAATTTGAAGGGCATATCTTCAAAACGGTAAGGTAATTCTCGTTCGTTATCAATCCAACTTGCTATTAATGCTGCATCTTTAGCGTCAATAATTTTAGAATCAAAAGGATATGCTGATATTCTTTTTTGTAAAAGATCGTAGTTAGGGTCTTGCCCAGAAGCCACGATACGTAAAATATCAGCAGAAAGATCTGGAATTACATTTTTATATTGTGCCTTAATTTGAAGAAGTTCATGAAGTGACATTTGGAAAAATCTAATATGAGGAATACAATTATGTAGAGTTTTTTCAAGTTCTATGAAATCTGCTGGCTTCAATTTGACTAAATTATTTGTTAAAATGGAACTAGTATTTTTGATTTCCCATTTAATTAAATATTTCCAAATTTCAGTCTCATCTAGCCGAAGGTCATCACTTTTCAACAAACGGATTAGATGGTCTTCACCCATATTTAAAAATTCATCTAACTCAAAAATGAGCTTAGGATTTTTACATACAAGATCTAATGCAAAATTATACAAATCAACATCATGATGTGGACCTAATGTAATAAAATCTTTTGGAAATTTCCATGCTGTTTCAGTTTCAAGTAAATGTTTCTTAAGTTGTTTACAAAGTTCAAGTAATTCAATCTCGTCAGCGGAAATAAAAATGTCAACAAGGCTAGCGTTATTTGTAACATTAAACTTTCCTGTATAAATATAACTATTCATTTTATGTAAGATAAATCACACAATTTTAGTTTTATATCAATAATTTATTACCGTTAAATTAAAAAATGATGGCATATATAGAACTTACCTTATAATAACTTCAAATACCAATGGAGAAATATTAGGCTTATTGAAAATGATTATTCCATTTTCTTTATTTGCCCACCGGGAGGATAATGCATTTTTAAAGTAAGCGGACCTTGACAATAAGATAATCGAATGTGCTTTAAATTCCTTAATATTTGGTTCTTTGCCAACTACAATTTTTGTATCAAAACCTTCAGAGCTTTTAAGCAAATTTAAAAAATGATTACTTACGAAAATACGTATGTATTGGTATTAAAAAAAAATAAAATGCGATTATTAGAAAATTTCCTTTTTATTATAGCGATAACAACTGTAGTCTCTGTAACGTAATTGACTCTTTATGATCAGTCTATTGTTTCTTTTTATGTACCAACGAAATGTATGGTTTACAGCCAGTTAACTATTTATAAAATCTTGCATAATGTTGGTTGATTTATGCAGATACTGATTTATCAAAAAAATTACGTGGGAAAATGAAAATTCATAATCAGTTAATGAGCAAGAACGTCATAAACAGTGTTGTTCACTAAAAGACTGAAACCCCACTGACGACCGGACCAGATTTTTTCACAAAACCATGCAAATGATTGGATATTATATTGGTTTGTAGGACATTAGTCAATTACCAGCATAGCAGGCTTTATTTTTTTATTTTTTATTATTTTTAAAAAAAGCAAGTTCTTGCCTCAATTTTCTTTATTGATTTATTGTTACATAAGAATATCAATTTACAGATATATTATATAAACTATCTATGAAAACTAGAAACTTAGACTACTTTGCCTACAACCCAAACTTTGTTAAAGAGATCAAAGCCTTGCCTAGTCAATGACTAAAATATAGTTAAAATTTTTAGAAGAGAAAGTTATTAATAAATTTTTAGTATATCTAGAAAAGTTTGCTAACATTGTTTATTTGAAATCATTAAAGAAGTGTTTAAATAAATCAATCATTCTACCTCTTATATAATTGGTTATGGTCTGTTTCCTGTCTGCAACAAAATTTCGAATTTGGTTAGTTATTCATATTGTGAACAGTAGGATGGTAATGCCGGAAGCTCGTTTAAGCAGGTGATCTGTGTGGCGCAGTAACGAATAAACGGCTACGTCGATCACTTACCTTAAATGGGTTTCCCGGCAGTATACGCTGTATTC